ACCGGCGATAACATCGCCCGATTTTACAATTCATCAGCCAATCAGAGTTGTTCAATGATACTGATGCCATCGCCCGATGAAATCGCCTGGTGTGTCCACGACTGCGCGATGCCATCAGGCGATGGCATCGCCCGATGAAATCGCCTGGTGTGTCCACGACTGCGCGATGCCATCGGGCGATGGCATCGCCCGATGAAATCGCCTGGTGTGTCCACGACTGCGCGATGCCATCGGGCGATGGCATCGCCCGATGGCGTCGGGCGATGGCATCGCCTGGTGTGTCCGGCCCTTTATCCCCGCGACCGCAGCTCCTAGTGGCTGCAGCCATCGTCTGACTTTCATCTTGCGCGCGTCGCTGTTTGTCTGGCGACGTCGGCGACGTCGGCGTGTGTGTCTGGCGACGTCGGCGCGACGGGAAATTAATGCTTCCTCTCCCCGCCGCGTCACGTGACGGCATGCCGACGACAGCAGGGCCTCGCGGGAGAGAGCGATGTTTTGATCTTGTTTTGAGCATGTGTTTCTTTTATTTTGTTTTGCACTCGCGGGATATATTCGAGGTTAACGAGCGACCGAGTCGTCGGGTGTTGTGTTGTCGTCATGACGTCATTCCGTCAAATTCTCGATCCGTAAGACTAACGGAAAGGACGGATCGAATACGGACCGCGGGCGTTGACAGGTACCTGCGTCCCTTCGCTTTGCTAATATTAAGCGGGGACCCGACGATGGCGCCCGTCTACGGTCGGCAGATGCGCATCGAGATATGCCGCACGGTGGCGCTGCTCTCGGCGTCTGCTAAAGCAGCTGCGACACGTAAGCAGACGAATCATGGAGACGATGATACGCTGTTGTTGGTGTAGTTGTTTGTTGTATTTTGGTGATTCGTTATTCATCGGTCGTGTGAGAATGTGAGGCGAGAGAGAGAGAGAGAGAGAGAGTTAGGCTTAGGTAAACTCTTATCACTCGATCACGCGTCTCTATAACTCTATGTAATACTCGATAACTCTATGTCGATAACTCTATGTAATACTCGTCAGGGAAAGTGCTCCTACAGCTTGGTTATACGATGTGTGCGTGCGCGTGTGCGTGCGTGCGCGCGTGTGCGTGTGTGTGTGTGTTCGCGCGCGCTCTCGTTGCCTCGGCCCTGGCCAGATCGAATTGTAAATAGTGTACGATTGCGTGTACAAATGAATTTCGTAAATAAAGTTCCATCGGTGGTTTTTTTGTAGCGTTTCCATGTCGACTTTTCCGTGTTTTTGTTTCGCTGTGTGGCTTCTTTAACACACGCGTCCGTCGCTACCTACACACGCGTCGTTTTGGCCGTATTCCTACATTTTTCATCTCTCCAGATTCACGTTCGGTTCTTTCACTTTCGCGCTCTCTGTCTTGCTTCAACTCTGTCTTTCTCCCTCACTCTCTCCCCTTCCCTCTATCTAGCTCCCCCTCTCTTTCTGTCTCTTGTACTCTCTCTCTCCCCCTCTCTCTCTTTCTCTCTTTCTGCCTCCCTATCTATCCGTCTATCTATCTATCTTTCTCGCTCGCTCGCTCTTTCTCTCTTCCTCTCCCTCTCTCGCGTGATCTCTCCACACGGCGAAGTGCAGTCGTATTTCTCTGATTTCATCCCTATATCTACTATATCTGCCATGATGTTGAATAGCCAGCGTCACAGACGCGCATACTTAGAAGATGCAGCTCATAACAGACGCTTGCTGCTATAAATATCCTCGGACGATAATTGGTAATGCTATAATGAATTGCTGCTTATATATATGACGCAAGGCAATGACATACACGTGCGTCATACCGGCTGGCTCGTTTGTCGGCACAATATATATAAAATAAAAATATAATATAATATAATAAAAATACAATGTATATAGATAATTGTGCCGACAATTCTATACAGATTTATAGATCATACAAGATGCCTTCAGCTAGGTTTATCATGCACACACACACAACACGCACACGCACGCACACACGCACACTCAATATCACACACACAACACGCACGCACGCACACCTTGAAGCGTTGAATAAATTCAAGTTAGTTATAAAGCGAACAGTAGGATTGCACAGGAAAACGTTGTTTTATTTCGGCACAGCACTCTGTCGTCATAACGGCCGCGTTCTCTCTCCCATCCCCTTTTATACCTCTGGGCGTGCCCTTCTCGTTGGACGCGTCGCCTTTTCGCTCGCTGGCCGGCTGTTCGGCCATCTGCCGCCTATTGGTTGCTCGGACATTCGTAGGACGAGTGACCAACCTGGTCTAATCTTACGTCAACTTGGACTGTGTCGCAATCCTCATACCGCTTATGCCCTTGCTGGCTGCCAATATGTCACCTGTAAACTTTTATTGCTGCATGCGTTGCCAGATTGCCTTCGTAACAGTGGCTAATTATTTTAGCCCACTTCTACTGCATGCTCGCTACAATCTAAACACCTTCTGTGCCCTCTAAAGCTAATCGCCAATTCTGATCTCTCTCTATCGTCGTCTCTCTCTCTCGTTTCTCTCGTCTCTCTCTCTCTCTCTCTCTCTCTCTCTCATCTCTTCTATATATATATATACTATATATATATATATATTATATATATATTATATATATATATATATATATATAATATATATATATATCCTATCGATCGATCGATCTATCTAATCTCCTCTACATGTATGTATAGTATAACGCAATGTAAACGTGCATTGTACAGTAATCACACAACAAAGTGCAGTAATGCTGCTGGCAGGGGCCCGTGTATTTAGTGTTGCTGACAGGGCCTAGTACTAATTTTCGTTCTTTCGCGTTGTTTGGCTTAAGATGCCTCAAAGGTCAAATTAATGTGTCCATGAATCAGCACCAAAATGTCCGCACTGAAAAGTCTATGACATTTCTAGAGGGCTCCACATTGATTTGCATCGATAACCGACAAACAGAGGCACATTCAAATCTCTCC